CCTTTTGGTTTAACGTCATAACAATTTTAGTTCCAAGATTTCAAACTTGCGCCTTTTGGTCATGTGATTTAATATTTTGCTGCAATTTTAGTCATTTGAGAACTTAGATTGCAACAAATTTATAATTACATGACTGAAATTGCCTAATGTTTTAAATTAGGGGATTTAAATTGCTAATCGAAAATTTGATAATTTGGAAATTTGATTAAATCAGATAAGGACATGCATAATTAAAAGCAATGATAAACAAAGAACTAAAATTCAACTATCATGGCCATTTAATTAATCTCTAATCTTTCGGAGAAACGCAATCCCCGAACTGCATCTTTCTTTTCGAGACATGGAATTTTCTTTTTCGTTGTGACTCCCACTTTTCTTCTTGAACAATTGGCTTGGAATTCCAGACGGTGATACGCTGGTCATAAAGAGGCTCAGGGGAAGGGTTTTCAAGCTCAAAAGAAAGAGAGGTGCCCCAAGGAGCATTCGCCAAGGGAAAGGGGACGTCAGGTTCGACATAGACAAATTTACTCTTCAACTTCGGAATGTTAGAAGGAATATCGACGATGAAATGGGCACCTTTACGGCTTTTCAAATATAACCCATTAGCTTATTTGGAAGGTACATAGCAGTAGTGGAAAAAACCTTTATGGAATCGACCTAGTCGGATATGGGAAAGGAAGAGGAACATGGTAATTGAGAGAATAGCATTAGGAGGAAGTGGTTTAAAAGGAAAGTCGAACCAATTGCATATCTCTAAAATTTCGGGACAGAGAGGAAGCGGATGCCCAATTTAAATTGCACCTCGAAAAAAGTATAGTGGTGGGCAGGAGGATTATCATAAGGGTCATTGGGGCCTGGGGGAACGAAACACCAGCCACAAGGATGGCCGAAATTTTGTAGTTTCAGCCAATTAGGAGGGGAGTGAGGCTTTGTAGATCTGGGTCGAGAAGGAATAGAACTTGAGGAGGGTTTGGCCTTAGATTTGGAAGAAAAAGGGAGAGTGGTGATGGTTTAGGCTTGGTAATTTTTGGAGTAGTGGAAAGTTTGTAGCGTTGAGATAGAAGAATACGGTCCTCTTCCTCATGATCCGCCTCGACAGCATCTAAGGCGGCCTCGGCAGTGTCGGTGGCACCAAAAGCCAGTCGACGATAGTGACTAAGTGGCATGTGTTCGATATTATCTTCTTCTGGCTCATCGACTAGGCGAAAGGGTTGAATGACAGAAGCGAGATCGTCGGGGTGAATCATATTGAGAGGAGTCGGCTGATAAACCTCATCTGCAGAGGGAGAGGGAGATTGAGGTATCGACTGTGTAACATGAGATCTCGCCGGATGGACAGTCTTTCCCAGCGGAAGTAGCAGGATCTGGAAAAGCGATAAAATAAGAGAAAGAGGGAAATTGTTTGAGTTTGGAGGTTTGAAAAAAAGAGAGAGAGGAAGGACGTACCAAAGCATGACGGCTAGGGTTCTCAAAGAGAGGGGGAACAAAAAAAAAAAAGAGAGGAATCAAAAAATCAAAAAATTAAAAAAAAATTGGAGTAACCAAAGTAAGATTAGGAGGACTTACTCATAGTTGCAGTGAGAAGACGTTGCCGGAGAGCGTAGGATTTCCTGAGGAACGGAGCACCGAGAGCAGGAAGCTTATATTGCAGAAAATTAGGGCACAAAGGATAGTCGAGATTTTGATGGAAGTGGAAAAGTCCGAAAATGGGCTAAGTACAAATATTTAAAGGAAAAAGAGAATATTAGAGAGGGGATCGTTGGATTAAAGATGAAATCCAATAGTTAAAAGAAATAAAGGAGGCGCGACATACAAGGAGGCACGAAGTAAGAAGGGGTGCAATGATGGATGATTCTGACGCGAGATGGACAAGTCTGACAAATGGGACAGGTGGCGAAAGCAGGGCCGTGTAATAGTGGACAAGTGTAGAATACACGGAAGGGAGAGGGGAGCACGCACAAAATGATCGACAGATAAAGAAAGAGAGAACAACAAGATGAAGGAATCTAAGTCTAACTCTTAGATCGAGTCATTTAGACTCGACCTGAGTGGGGGGAGACTAGATGATATGGGATATTATAAATAGATGGGTAGACCAGCTCTTTTGACCGGTCGAGCAGATCGGGAAGTGAAGGAGAACCATACTGGGTTGTAATATCGAGCCAAGAGGGTAGCGCTAAATACCACTAAGGAGAAAGGATAAAGGCCTAAGAACGAGCAATGGGGAGATCTAACTGACACGCGAGGAGCTTGAGCAGAAGGTCGTCTGAAAGGCTACAAACCTGGTGAAGGTAACTCGAGGAGGATTTACTGGTCGACCTAGTCGGGGATAAAGGACAACTTAGGGTGTTGACTCACATAAGGTCAAAATACGATGAGCCTCTAACGGAATTGCAGAGGTGTCAGTGGGACATCAGCAAATCGCGAGGGATATTCTATTCCATGTGAAGAGGACATGTGGCGCGAAGATATTGGCACAGAGGATAGTGGCAACGGCTACCTCTGACACACACACACTACGTGTGCACGGACGGGCAGTTGGGGCAGACAACTCAGCAGACCCGGGCAGCTCCTAGGGCAGGTATCTCACCCCTATATATATGGCGTGAGCTTTTCTTGTTGAAGAAGACATTCTATTGCTTACTCTTGAGAATTGATTGAACAAACACTGACTTAAGCTTTGGAGGCTCTTCACCGGGAAACCCCTCTGGTGTGAGAGCTCATTGTAGGTGCACGACGTTCGACCGGCGAGAAGGAAGGCGATCACTCGAGTTCCAGCCAGTCGGAGAGTTTTGTGTTACCAGGATTTGTTCACTCAAGACATTTTTTGGAGGAGAGATCGAGTTCTGAAGGATAGGGGTTGATGATTTTAAGTAGTTTTATAGGTATATTTGGTTGGATTTGAATAAGGATGAAGTTATATGTGCAAATATGTTGGATGATTTTGTATTTTTGCAAATAAATATTAATTGAATGTAAATATGTAATATAAAATACATTTGATTGTATGGAGTGTAAGGGCATGCTTGTTTATGGATTTTTTCAATCCAATTTTTTCAATTCAAATATTTAACTCAACTTTAACTCAACCCCACTATCTTTAATATTATTCATACAATTAAATAATAAAAACCAATCATTCTTACACATCACATCACTTTAATTCACTATTCATCCACTCACATAATTTTAACTACCAATCATTTCCAATCATTTATCTCCTACTTTATATCAAATCAACTTTAATCATTTTTATTTTAAATATTATTTTAATATATTTTTTAAATTCCACTAACAATTAACCACATTACTTTTTCAACTTTAACTATAGTTAACAAAATGAAATATTTTGGTTGAAAAAATCCATAAACAAGCGCCCCCTAAATTTCTCAAGATTTTAAGGGCCGAATTGGGGCAATGAAAGGGGCTGATCATAAGAACTCCAAGCCTGGTTTAAAGCCAAATAAAACTGGGTCGAAGACGGCTCGGAATAACACTACGCGATTAAACCGAAAAACTCCGAATGACTTGACGAATGAAATAAAACACGCATTTAAAATAACCAAAGGAAATAAAATAAATAAGGCATACCAATCAAAATATAATGACGATAAATAAAATAAAATACAAGAAATAACATCAATCGAAAGGGGCACTACAAAGGAATATACCAAAAATCATCTATTCAAGGAGTTCAAAAATATTCTTTGATTTTATCAATAACTACACTGAACCAATTTTTTAAAAATTCGTATGTGATTCACAATATGATATAAATTAACAGATTAGATATAAAAATTAAAATATTATAGTACACATTATTATAAGTTATAAGAGAAAAATAAAACAATCTTCAGTAAGTAAAAGTTAATAATTTTTTAACTTCAAAATAATATATAACACAATTTTTTGAATTAAGTGTTGGTTATAATATTTTACACAACTTTTCAATTTTAGAATAATTTATGTAGAAATCGACATGATATATTGTAATAAAGTATGAGAAAAGGAAGAGAGAGAGAGAGAGAGAGAGAGAGAGAGAGATAAAGAGATTACGTGAGTATTATTTATTAACAAAGTTTGGATGTGTTAAATTTTCATTATCTTTTTGAAACTTTAAAATGACAACTATTTTATAACGAGTGAAATTAACATATAAATCGTCTATTGAACTATTATATAAAATAATAAAAAAAATATTAATATTCAAAATTATTTTTATATTAATCAACATTATTTCACTGGTTCAATACATGAGATATCGTGACTCTTAGGTCACGAAAGCCTATTGGTTGGGGGAAAAAAGGAGGGGATGAGAGGGAGGAGAAGAGTTTTTTTTTT